TTAACTTATCGAACGAAATTAACGAGCAGAACACGAGCTTCTTAACGAGTCGAACACGAGTTGTTCATGAACAACGAGCCGTTTTACCAGCCCTACATGTGTCATACTATTCTTAGAGAAATATTATATTTATCTATGATGTTTGATTATTTTCAACTTGAATTAAATAATAGTAATAATAGTAAAAATAACAAATAGTGCATATAAATTTAATTAATTTAGTCATCAACTATGATTTAAAATTAATTAATTAGTTAATTAATAATATAAAAAATAATTTTATCTATTTATTATCAATTAAATAATATTTAAATTCATTTATACTTCTAGAAAATATAATATTTTTTAAATTCAAATTGGAGCAAAAAATAAAATTAGAAAAAAGCTCATTTAATGGATTTCCCTAAGAGAATGTGGCATATTTGTAAAAATTGGAGATTAGGTGATGCAAGTGTAAAGCAGAGTAGTTTGTATGTAAATGTTACTTTAAACAAAAATTATTTTGTTTGAATAAGGCACGTAGAGCAGCAGCCAATCCAAATGTGACATGTGTTTTTATATTTTTTAATCATTATTTTATTCTAAATAATTCATAATAAACATCATAAGTAAGAGTGTGGCCAGATGGCTCGTCGTAGTGTAGTGGCGCGTCATTTTAACATAGGAAAAGAACTTGTCAGAATTTTGAGAGCAAAATAAAAATATTGGATCGTTTAACTTCTAGAATTTAGATATAAAATATTTTTTTCATTGCAGAGCATCAGGAAGAAATTGTTGTCGTTGCCGAAACTCAATAAGAAATCAGGGTCTTTATTGAAACTCAATAAGAATCTTGAGGATGGAGGACAACTAGAGTAGTAACTTAAACAACCCTGAGGTCATATCTACTTTTGTTTTTGGTTATGGAATTACAAACTTGAACTTATTTGTAAGTTTGAAACAAAATTTTGTTTACGTGTTAATATGAAAGCCTTATTTTTTTTATTAATTGTAGCGGTTTGATGCGTATGATATTTAATAATTCATATTCAAATGAGACTCTTGGTTTTGTGCTGACAAACTAGTTTTAAACTTTTGCTTATTGTTGTAGCTAGGATTGTCTAATTTTGTCTTGTACAATCATGTTGTATTGGTTGTTCTGATTTATCTCAGCTCAACCGACACAACATTATTGTATTGAAGGGAACCATGCAATGGAGTATCTCTTGTATGAAATTGTAACATAACAATAAAAAGAATTGTATATATAGAATGAATGAATTTGTAATTTTTATTTTTTTTTCTCATCAGTAGGATTGACTGATTTATCACCACTTGTACAATCATGTTTTATTGGTTGTCCTGATTTATCTCAGTACAACCGATACAACACGATTTTACCGAAAGTTATGATGCAGTGTTGTATAAGTTATAAAAAATTATAACATAAACAAAAAGAATTCAATATATACAAAGAATGAATTTGTAATTTTTATTTTCTTCATGGATATGATTGACTTATTTATCGCTACTTATATTATCATGTTCTAATAGTTGTACAAATCTGTATGTTTGTGTTCGGTTCGTTTGCTTAACGAGACGAGCACGAGCTGTTCACGAATAAATAGTCATTTTAACAGTCCTAATCATACAGTCATAAGAAGATAAGGGTTTGAATAAGATTTAAAAATTATTATTTATATTAAAACAACATTTGAATCTAATTTAAGAATTTTTATTTTATTTTCTTAATCAATATTTTAATTGATTATAAATCTTTGTAACCTTGTAGTCAATTAGATTAAATATTACTTATATATATATATATATATATATACTTGATG